CCTCGCACCCCTGCCAGGGAGGGCGTGGCCAGCCTCGGGCACAGGCACAGCCTCCTCCGCGGGCAGCCCAGGAGGGCGCTCCCTGGTGCTGGCCTCCTTCCCGCCTCTACCTGGAGGGGCATAGAGGGTGTCCCCACTGTGCCATGGGACGTCGCCACCCTGTCTGAGCCGTGTCCCGGCACAGGAATTCCAGGGCGACCTAGGACAGGTCTGGACAAGGGGTCGTTTCCTTGGTTGGGTCCGGGACCCTCATTCTCTGGAGCCACAGATGTCCATGCCCTTCCCGTGAGAGGAGCCGAGGGGCTGCGTGTGCCACGTGGATGGAGACGGGTCCAACCCCACTCTGGGAATGCAGTGTTGGTTTTATCGATCTCTGGTCCTGAAGACACTGGGGACGCCGGGCCAAGTCCCGGCCCTGGGCTGGTTTCCGGGGGACGCTCCCGGCAGGCTCTGAGTGGCAGGTCTGAGCCCGTGGGCGTCCATCCTTTTGACGCCCAGGGATGCCGTCCGCAGGCTGGTCCCTTCTGTGGAGGACACAGGTCTAGGGCAGATGCCGCCCGAATGCTTCAGGCCCTTCCCTCCTGGCGGCGTGGAAGCAGAGGCTCTGCCGGGAGGCCGCTTTCTCTCCCAATGGGGGGCTCCTGTCGCCCCGCCCTCCCCATCTCCTCCCTCCTGGGGGCGAGGCTGAGCCACAGGCCAGAACATTGTACACGCTTATTTTAGTCAAACATGCAAGTCCGTTTCTGAACTTGTTTACAACAGCCTCCTAGGCATTTCAGTCTGTGAGGGGGCGGCTGGGCTGGGTGGGAGCCTGGGGGGGCCTCCCCTGGGCCATGCCCGACTGTCTCCCGAGCCCTGGAGGAGGAGTCACGGTGACCTGAGGGGGGGGCACTGGTAGAGGCAGTCCTCAGCTCCGGAGGAGCCCGCCGGCCCCTGCAGAGGGGTCTGGGGGCACAAACCCAACGAAGATACTGTGTCGTCACTTGGAGACGATACTTAGTGGTAAACAGTCTGAACGGCAATCACTGAGCATCAGCACCAGCAGCTGAGAGAACAGGGCTGTGCTAGGTGGTCTGCTCCTCCGCCTGGGCAGGGGCGTCTGACCTCGGGGCCGCCTGGGTGGGTGTGGGAGGAGCCTCTGACAGTGAAATGCAGAGCAAATGCAGGGTCGGTCGGATGGGCACTATCTGGGGACACCTTGGCCTCCGGCTCTGAGGAGGCACCGTGACCCCGTGGGGCGTCCTCGCGGTGTCGGTTCAGACCATGCCAAACCCCGGTGAGGAGATGGTTTACGCAGAAAAGAGCAGACGGTCTGAGTGCCCAACTGTGACCTGCATGTGGCGAGGGTGGTGGTCAGACTCCAGTGAGGGGACCCGAGGGGGGGTGTGCGGTGAGTACCCCAAGCTGAGCCCACAGGACAGGGTGCGAGGTCCACCAGCCAGGACACGGCGTCTGTCAGGGGGGGCTCTGCTCTGTCCACACCACCTTCTTCTGCTCGTCGGAGATGGCGAAGCGGACGCAGCTGAGCAGCGTGTCCAGGTCGCCCCAGCCCTCGGGGGCCAGGCTGCAGCAGGGGTGGGGCACCCTGTCCAGCTC